AAATCACAGGGCACCCGGGGGTGGGCGCGGGCTGGAGACCCGCGACCCACCCGCCCCCACAACACCAAGGGGGCGCGGCGGGGGCCTGGTGGCACCCCTGCCGCATAACGTGTAAGGAGGAGAAGGCTGGCATGGGCCTAGGTCTCCCCTCTTAAAGGGGAGACGAAGACTGAGCGCGTAAACAGCGTGGTGCGGGGGTCATCCGGAGTTTTGCGTTGAAGTACCCGGATGGCCCCTCCGAAGCGCGATGAGGTGGCCACTCCCGGTGGTTTTAGTGCGGTAGGCGTCTCCGTTGCACTACTGGCTCTGGGCCATCTTCCCAGGTGCCAGGGAGACGAGTCCCACACACCACCCGTCTCTCTCTCCAGGAGAGACGGGTGACGGTCCATGAGGATTTCCACCGGGTCAAAAAAAAAAAGGTTAACCCTAAGATCCCCCTCGTGGTAGGCCACCTTGTCGTGGTGAGGGGGCTTGTAGGCGGGCGTCTGTCTGGAAGCCGTCGGTGCCGCTTTAGGCATCGGGGGTTTCCGGGACGGGCGCTCGTCGACTAAGAGCCTACCCTTCCCCTGAAAAGGGGAAGCAGGGAGCCCGGCGACTCCGGTCTCGGCTGCCTCGACGAGAGTCGAGACAGAACCGAGACCACTCGCCGGTAGGGGATGAGGTACCCCGACTGCAAACCTCCGGCTGCTGGGGCCGTTAGGGGGGAGCTTGCTCCTCCCACCAGCCATGTGGGGGAGAGAATCTCAGACGCCATTGCACGCCGGTGTTCCGGCAGGCGTCTGAGATTCGGGGGGAGGCCACCGTCACCCATTGCACGCCGGTGATTCGGCAGGGGGGCGGTGGCAAGGGGGCTTCTCCGTCAGCGGGCTCGTCGTGGACGGGTCCGCGGGCGGAGGAGGGCCGGACCCCGGAGGTACTGGGACGCGGTCCTAGCCGAAGGGCGGGCCGGAAGACGTGGCCTCCCCGCGGTTGACTCGGACGTGGTCCGTGTCTTTCGGGGGGAGGGGCCGGACCTCCGCGGTAAACTGGCACCCGGGATCCGCGGAGTGGGATGGCAGTCAGAGACTGGGCGGCAATCAGTCGCTCAGCACCGGCCTATCTCCGTGAACTCGTCAACCCTGTGTCTGGGGCCGACGTCCCGTTGCTGGGGCGTGCGGCCTGGCATATGGGGGGGCGAGGGAGTGGAGGCAGGAGGGAAGAGGGATAGTTCCCTCGCGGTTGGGTCGGACGTAATCCGGCCCTTCCGGGAGGGGGCGAGGCCCCGGGTACACGTCGGGTCGGTGACCCGCCTCGCCCGGTTGGCCCGGCATAGACGGGGGATCGGGGCCGCTCGGACGTTTCCGAGGCGGGGCCCGGTCTCCCGGAGAACCCCGGGGGCCGCTGGGACGTATTCCCAGGCAGGGCCTCGGGGTCCGTGGGGTTGGTCGGCAAGCCTGCCGGCGGTTCCCCCGGCAACAGGTGCCCGTACGCCCAGACGGCGTACGCGGCGACGGTGTACAAGACTGGATCGGAGGACACGTCGTCGTCGGCCAAGGAGTGCAGCGCGTACAGCGAGGCCAGGTGCGTCGCGATCGGCCCGATGTACCTCGGCGGGTACCACGGGTGGACGAACCGTACGTCCCGGTCGTCGGCCTCGTCGTCCAGCAGCCTGACGCGGATCACGCCCTTCTCGGCCGCGCTCAACTCGGCGCTGGCGACCATGTGCCGGAAGGTGTCGTAGGACGGTGCTGTGCAGCGGCAGGTCCCGCAGCGCGGGCGAGTCCGGGTCCAACTGGAGGAGGACCCACAGACGCTCGCCTCCGAAATCGCCCAGGGGAAACTCGAACCACGTACGGCCGCGCACGATCTCTTCTCCTCTGGCGACGAAGGTGGGCTCTCGCGCGGCGTGAAACTTGGAGCGGTTGTCCAGGTAGGCCAGCAGTTTGACGTTGCGGGACTCTTTCATCTGCGTGGCGTCGAGGCACAGATTGAAGCCGGCGCCGTCGCGATCGAACGGCCTCGGGCTTCGGGCGCACGCCAGTATCGAGTCGACGTCGCGACGAACGTGCATCCTCGTGTCCTTGTCGAGTTCGTAAGTCGTCGGATTTAGGTACAGGAGGATCGGATGTAGCGGCTCCTCCCGCTCCTCGGGCTCCCTCAAGTCCGCCCACTCGTCCTCCTCCTCGTCCGACGACGTCGACGACGACGGCGGTGACGGCGGTGACGGCGGCGACGGCGGCGACGGCGGCGACGGCGTTGGCGGCGTTGGCGGCGTCGGTTGCGGCGTAGGCGGCCGCGGCGGCGGCGGCGACGTCGGTGTCGGTGGTGGCGTCGGTGACGACGCCAGTGGCGGCGGTGTCGTCGGTATCGGCGACGGTATCGGCGACGGTATCGGCGACGGTATCGGTTGTCGTAGCCAAGGAATATCCACCGTCTCTATAGAGACGATTTGTGGTTTCCTCGATACCACCGGCGGCGGCGGCGGCGACGGCGGCGACGCGGACGTTGGCGGCGTCGGTTGCGGCGTAGGCAGCGGCGGCGACGTCGGTGACGGTGCCGGTGTCGGTGTTGGTGGTGGCGTCGATGACGACGCCAGTGGCGGCGGTGTCGTCGGTATCGGCGACGGTATCGGTTGTCGTCGTCGTAGCCAAGGAATATCCACCATCTCTATAGAAACGATTCGTGGTTTCCTCGATACCACCGGCGGTGGCGGCGGTGTCGTCGGTCGTCGTGGCCGAGGGGGGGGAACCACCGCCTCTCTCGTTGCGACAACGTCGTCGTCCTCGTCCTCCTCCCCCTCCTCCTCCTCCTCCTCCTCCGTCACTGTCGCCAGTGGATCAACCGAGCGCGACTCGCCGAGATCGCCAACGACGGCGGCTTCTTCCTCTTCGCGTTCCGGCGACGACGTTGGTGGTGGTGGTGGTGGTGGTGGTGGTGATAGTGATGGTGATGGTGGCGTTAATATCGGTAGAACCTCTCTCGTTGCGACTACGTCGTCGTCCTCCTCTCTCACTATCGTCAGTAGTGGTTCGGCCGAGCGCGACTCGGTCAGATCTACGACGGCTTCTTCCGGCTCCTTCTCTTCTTCGCGTTCCGTCGACGGCGTCACGCACAGCCCTTCTAGGCTGTTCAAGATATGGAAAACGTCGTCGTCGTCCTTCTCCTTGTCCAAAATCAGCGTCAGTGGTTCGCCCGTGTAGCGCGACACGCCGAGATCGACAAAAACGACGGTTTCTTCTTTCTCATTACGTTCCGGCGACGACGTTTGTGGTGGTGGTGGTGGTGGTGGCGACGGCTGCGGCGGCGTTACACGCAGCCCCTCTAATTCCTCTACGAGGACAACATCGTCGTCGTCATCGTTCTCTTCCTCCTCCATTACCACCGTCAGTGGTTCGGCCGAGCGCGACTCGCTGAGATCGATAACTTCTTCCTCCTCCTTCTCATCCTCTTCGTAAACGAGACGCAACGAGCAGCTCTCCTCGTAGCTCTCGTCGACGCAAACGAACTCATCCTCCTCGTCGTCGTCGCTGGTGTGGCGGCTGGCTCTCCACAAATTATCGAGGAATCTCTCGTGTCTGGCCTGGCTCCTCCCTCGGCTACACTCGTTCATCCTCTCCAGAACTGGCGACGATCGCCGGCACATCGTCGACCGTCTTCTCCGTTCGCGACATGATCGCTCGCTCTGAATCGCTCTCTCTCTCTCTCTGAATCGCTGTCGCGAAGGCACAGTCTACGGCAAAACTAGCTCTCTGTCGGCAGGTATCTCCGTGTCACGCTGTTGATACCCCGCGCAAGGTTCTAGAAGAGAGAAAACGAAACATTAGTACAAAGAGAGTGGGGGGGCGGTACCTAGGGCCCAACGAGCGCACCTGGTGAAGAGAGCCAGGGCCCAGCGAGCGCGCACCTAGGAAGGGAAGGAAGAGTTTACCGCTCGCTTGCCGAAAACGTAATGAATTTAGTACGCGCGAGGCAGCTCCTTATATACACCCGTCGCGAGCCCCCCACCGTTTTCCACACGCGAGTACGATCGCACCGCCTGGCGGCGGTTCGTCCGACTACTAAAGCGTGTACGCGCCTCCCCGAAACCTATGGGGGCCCCCCGACGAGCCGCTCTCTACCGAACGAGATCGCGCGCGCGTGCAGTCTTACACGGAAGAGAGAAGCGAACGACTCACTTGCCGAAAACGTAATGAATCTAGTACGCGCGAGGCAGCTCCTTATATACCCCCGTGGCGGCCCCCACTCCTTGTTCCACGCGCGTGTACGATCGCGCTGCCTGGCGGCGGGTC